AGTGTTAGATAGTGTACTAGAGTTACGTAGTACATAAGAAGGAATTTGGTGCTAGAAAGAAAGTAAGGCCAGCCAGGTGGATAAGGAATGTGTGTGTAGGGGGGGTGGGGCGCTTGCCATTTAAATGGGCTTGACACTTGGGAAGAGGTTTCCAGTAGTTAGAGTTGTTGGGGGGGCGGCGGTGGGAGAAGGGTCTTGAAAAGTGCGGCCTTCTACAGCTCCTTCCTGTTGTGGGGGTCTCACCAGGGCAGGTGGGAATGGGGTGAGGGGGCGGAGGAGGCACGGCTTTGTGGCTGATTCGTTTCTGATACCCTGTGATTGTCCACATCTCCAGTCCTTTCGTAATACACTCTCCCCAGGTTTATAGGAAGGTGTGACAGAGACAGAATCAAGCTTTCTTGGCGGAAACGTCAGTAAATGAGAATTGAATTACAATGAAACAACAGTAACTTTCTAACCCCAGTCAGCAGGTCCACTCATCTTAGTTAATACGCCAACACTAATAACAAACACGAGTACCGGGGACCGCGGCCCCTTGGGCACTGCGGGACGCGCAGCCTCCCCTGGCGGCGGCCCCCAGGAGCGCACCGAGCGCCACGCAGCTGGCAGCCCGCACCTCGCGGGGACTCCTGCGAGCCGCCGGGCCGGCGCGTGGGGCGGAGCTGCTGGGGGCGGGCCCTGTGAGGGCCCCACCCCCGCGGGGGATCGGCGCGGGCTGGCAGCGCGCGCTGGGAGTTGCTTAAGGAGGCGCGCGGAGGCGGGAGCTCAGCATACGGCGGTAGCGCGCGGAGGTACGGTCCACGTGTCTCCCTAGAGTCCGGTCCTGAGTTTGCCCAGCAACTTTTCCCCGCGCGATCCAGGGCGCCCCCTCGCCCGCCCACCCCCGGCCCGCGGGAGCGGGGCCTCACACGGTTCCCTGAGCTCAGTGGGTCAACTTGGCGAGCAACTTTGTCCCGGGACCGCGTAGGGGGACCGGGCACTGCGCATAGCTTAAGAGAAAGGTGTGGGGGTAGGTGCCGGAACTCACGCCTTGCTATGTCACTGTAGAAATGACCCAGTCTACGGAATAGCTTTGTGTGATCTCTGAACTGGTCACCCAAAGGGGACTTCTCTGAGTTTTTTTTTCACAGCAGTAGAAATTTTAGATGTTGTTGCATAGCAATGAAATTCTGATATTACTATGTTCCCTTTCCAAGGGAAAGACTTTAAAATGGCAACAGAAATCTATTAGAAATCTTCAAATACTAATAATTTGGAATCAGTGCTTGAGCTCTGCTCTTAACCTACAAGGACACTTTTCCCCAGAGCTTCACTGGCTCTCAGACTGAAGGACATATGGCTTTGATATTAAGAGTAACAGAAATCCTGCCAGGGAGACACTTATCTGACTTCACGATCGATCGTCACTAAGCCTTCTCTCTCTTCAATGCCTGGCTAATTCTTGCAACTTCAAGTATCTTACACTGAATTGTAGGAGTTCAATTCTCACTACTTTTTTTGTGTGTCTACGTTTTTACACGTTGTACATAACATTTGTCATCATAGTCACTTTTAAGTAGGCAGCACATTAGTGTTAATTACATACATCTGGTGCAACAGATCTCTAGAACTTTTTCATCTTACAAAACTGAAACTCAGTTGCCACTGATTAACTCTTTTTGCCCATTGCTCCAGCCTCTTGAAACTATTATTCTACTTTCTAAGAGTTTGGTCACTTACGTTCACATTCACTTGATTTCATAAAAGTAGAATCATGCAATCTTTGTCTTTTTTGTGACTGGCTTATTTCTCTTAGCATTACGTCCTCAAGGTCCATCTATGTTGTACCATATGACAGATCTCCTTTTTTAAGGCTGAATAATATTTCATTGTATATACACAACATTTTCACTACTTTTTTAAATCTACAACTTTATTATTCTGTGATTTTAACTTAATTTTGTTTTTCCTGTGTATAAAGTATGAAGATTGCCTTATTACATGTACTGAATTTACCACTCAGAAACCTTTCTGATTGAATACATAGAGGATTTGTAGACATGAAAATTTAATAGGTAATTTCTCCAGGTTTCTAAATGATCCATTAGACATAGAGCAAGTTTATAAAGTAATTGCCAATCTTTCATAATGCAAGCTATTTTATAAGGCATTTAAAACTCTCTCTTTCAATCATTTTAACAACAAAGAGGAAAATAAAACATCTGACCTTTTGCCTTGAGAGCTATAAAGTTTCTTTACGCAAACAAGGTTTTCAGGTAACTGTGATGTTGAACCCGTGTATGTTCTTAATAGCTTTTTATATGTCTCCTTGGATCATACATGAATTTCAGAGGGGAACTATACCTCTTGAAATTTCTAAACAGAATATAAACAGAAATATTCCTAATCAGAAATAAAGCAATAAGAGTCTTAGCATTGTAAAAGGATTATCAAATTTTCATTCCCCAAGAGGATAATGCTTTCACCTTCAAATTGAGGAAGAAATAAAGGTGAGGGTGGATTCTTTTGTGGCCAGTGCCTGGGAGCATGACTTTGGAGGAAACAACTGATCTACTCTGCTGATTTCTTCTAGTAGGAAGAAGGTCTGGTGATCTGTTGTTACCAAGGGGAAACTCAACCCCATTCCCAAAGCTGATTGTCTTTCAAAGGATGGCACTCTGAAATGATTATCAGCCATAAGCTGATAAATAAGCATAACATCAGTAATTTAAGAAAATACTTACTGCCTTCCCTATACCTTTTTCTTTTTCCACCCTGAGGCTCAAGTTGACTAGACACTCATTGGTTTCAGTACAGTTTCTATTCTCACAAGGCCCGACTGGCTGCCGTGCAGAGAATGGACAAAGCTCCTGATTTCCAGCAGAAATTGCTGATCCAGAGGAGTGGATGGGGCTAAAGGTAGGGAGTAGGGGAGGGGAGGAGAAGCACATTCAAGGTGGAAGGGGGCAAAGGAGAGAGGGGCAGGAGGATGAAGAGCTAGATTTAGGCGTTTGGGGAAATACGGGGAGGTGAGGAAGGGGGCCGCATAAGGAGAGGATGAGCAGGAGAGTGAGCCCCGCATTGAGAGGAAAGAAAGAAAGGGGTCAGGAATGGAGAAATAGGCAAAGCAGAAGGATACAGAAATTACAAAAACTTTGAAATTATAAAAACCAATTCACCCAAAGTATTCTGCAGTGTTTTTGTGAGACAGCGAGACTGAAATAGGAAGAGGCCCTTTATTTTCTTAGGAAGAGAGCACAGACTGGAGGTGGGAGAGGAATGGTGGAGACTTTTCCAAACAAAGAGAGAGCCTGTGGCCTCTCCAACTGCTCGCCCTCCGCACTGGATGAACTGTTCACGCCACAGCCTCCGATCTTCTCCATCCAGAGTGGGGTGGAGGTCTGTGACATAAGCCTGGTGTCTCTGGTGAATGAGGGCCAGAGGGCTGGACTGCAGAGTTCAGTGCAGGGTGGGTAGGCCGTGGGTAGGGGTTAGAGAAGAGGGGGTCCGTCTGGGGTGAGGGGCCGGGCTGGGGAATGGGTGGTCTCCAGAGGGAGCGACCTCAAGGCCTTGTTGAGGGGACTTGGCTCCCAAAGGCTTCAGGAATGCAGAATCAGGAAACCTGGGGCTTCCTAGCTTTCTGCTCCCGCCTCCAGGGGGGACACACACAGTGCCTTAAAGGAGAGACAGAAACATCTAGAAACCCAGATCAGTTCTTCCAACCTGTAATCCTAGTCCCTCTGCTCCTGTCCAATTTGAAGATTCTATAGATACCCACCCCTCCCCTCCAAGTAAAAACGGCCCTAACTCTTGACCCCTGAGCAAAGAGTTCCCTCTACCTCCCCCATGGGAAAAAAAGGCCTTGACCAGAGGTTAGTGCACAGGATTCTGCCACTGCTGCACCTGTCCCCACCCCAAACCCCCCGCCCCCCAAGAGGCCAGAGAGGGTCAGGGCCAGCCTTTGGAACAGAGTGCTGCGGGTGTGTGTGCTTCTCCAGCTTCCAGCTGTTGCTGAGTGAGAGACTTTGTACAAATTAACCCGCACCAGCTTCAGTTTCCTCTCTGAGAGGTGGGTACAGATGAGGGTCCTGTTATGGTGCATGGAAAGGATGTAGTACTGGCTGGCGTTTACAGGCACTCCATGAAGGGTAGCAAGGTCTGTGAGAAATGCTCTGGTTTTTGTCAGATTTATTCACTTCTTCATTGCACAAATGTTTATTGAATACCTACTATTAACAAGCCCTGGGGATATGTCAGAGCCCCCCTTCCAAGCTGTCTGTCATCTTAGTGTTAGATAGTGTACTAGAGTTACGTAGTACATAAGAAGGAATTTGGTGCTAGAAAGAAAGTAAGGCCAGCCAGGTGGATAAGGAATGTGTGTGTAGGGGGGGTGGGGCGCTTGCCATTTAAATGGGCTTGACACTTGGGAAGAGGTTTCCAGTAGTTAGAGTTGTTGGGGGGGCGGCGGTGGGAGAAGGGTCTTGAAAAGTGCGGCCTTCTACAGCTCCTTCCTGTTGTGGGGGTCTCACCAGGGCAGGTGGGAATGGGGTGAGGGGGCGGAGGAGGCACGGCTTTGTGGCTGATTCGTTTCTGATACCCTGTGATTGTCCACATCTCCAGTCCTTTCGTAATACACTCTCCCCAGGTTTATAGGAAGGTGTGACAGAGACAGAATCAAGCTTTCTTGGCGGAAACGTCAGTAAATGAGAATTGAATTACAATGAAACAACAGTAACTTTCTAACCCCAGTCAGCAGGTCCACTCATCTTAGTTAATACGCCAACACTAATAACAAACACGAGTACCGGGGACCGCGGCCCCTTGGGCACTGCGGGACGCGCAGCCTCCCCTGGCGGCGGCCCCCAGGAGCGCACCGAGCGCCACGCAGCTGGCAGCCCGCACCTCGCGGGGACTCCTGCGAGCCGCCGGGCCGGCGCGTGGGGCGGAGCTGCTGGGGGCGGGCCCTGTGAGGGCCCCACCCCCGCGGGGGATCGGCGCGGGCTGGCAGCGCGCGCTGGGAGTTGCTTAAGGAGGCGCGCGGAGGCGGGAGCTCAGCATACGGCGGTAGCGCGCGGAGGTACGGTCCACGTGTCTCCCTAGAGTCCGGTCCTGAGTTTGCCCAGCAACTTTTCCCCGCGCGATCCAGGGCGCCCCCTCGCCCGCCCACCCCCGGCCCGCGGGAGCGGGGCCTCACACGGTTCCCTGAGCTCAGTGGGTCAACTTGGCGAGCAACTTTGTCCCGGGACCGCGTAGGGGGACCGGGCACTGCGCATGCGGAGCTCCAAATTCAAACAGCTGTTTCCAAAGGCTGGAGGGCAAGTGGACGCGGAGCCGCTGGGGTTAGGGGAAACCTTCTCCAAGAGGCGGCCGCACCGGAGCCATGGTGGACCGGGGCCCTCTGCTCACCTCGGCCATCATCTTCTACCTGGCCATCGGGGCGGCGATCTTCGAGGTGCTAGAGGAGCCTCACTGGAAAGATGCCAAGAAGAACTACTATACACAGAAACTGCATCTGCTCAAGGAGTTCCCGTGCCTGGGCCAGGAGGGCTTGGACAAGATCCTGCAGGTGAGCCGCGATCTGTACCCCTACATGCACGCGAAGGTGGCTGGAGCTGGGCATCTCTGCACAGCTTTGGATGACCTAAGTACCTGTGGGTGGACCTAGGGGTGATAGGAAAGAATGTCTCACTGTGGGTCTGGCTGCGGGACACAGCACGCGTGGACAGAGTCACCCACGCGCGGAGACTCTTTGGAACCCAGTTTGTCCATAGAGAAGAGCTTAGGGTTGACCCCCTGGGTGAACCAAGCTTTGCAATGACTCGGTGTGAGTGTGTAGGTACCTCTCTCCCTAGGAGGAAGGCGGCCGGGCAGGTGAAGGTGTGTATTTTAACTTGGAGACGCTCCCGGAGTTCCGGAGTCGAGCAGGGTGCCACGGACTCGAGTCTCCACCTCCTAGCTCCTAGCTTTGGGTCCAGTTCGGCGCCCGCCGGGCTTCTCTTCGGGAACGTGAAACCGGCGGGAGCTGCGGGAGGGTCCCCGCCGGGTTCGGGAAGGGGGTAGGGGCCCTGTCGGGCCTGAGACCCCAGGATCGGGGCTGACGGCTGGAATGCCAGGGATGTGCTCAGGCTAATGGAAGGACTTATTTCTCCGATATATCCTTCAAGAACTTGGAGTTAAAGTTTGTAAAAGGTTGATGAACAGAAGAACAAAACCTGGGGAGTCCCCTTCAGGGGGAAGGAGGCGTTGGGCAGAATGGAAGGTGGTGGGTGGTAGTTTCTTCTCTTTGTTGGCACTGGGAGCCTCTTAACCTTCTGGTGTATGCTCTGTGGATGGCATCGCTTGCACTCACATAAACCGTGGGGCCGACTGTGGTTGCTGGGACCTTGGGCCAGTCAGAGACCCGGGCCCTCTACCCCAGTTTTTTTAAGGCTCTTGGCCCCAACCATCCACCCTCCTTGCCCTGTACGAATGGCCTCCCTCCAGTAGAACAACCAGGACCTCAGTTGGTGGTGGTGGTGGTGAAGGCTCTGAATTATGGGATGGGCCAGGGGTGGATTACCCAAGATGTCACGTTTCTCTTGGGGTGGGTGAAAGATGCCAGAAAGGAGGTTTGATGTGGAAGAACATTTAATCTACACCGGCCGCCTCCGACACTGTGGCTGTCTAGTTGTCTTATCATTTTTCTGTCCTCAGTTTCCCTATATGTGAAAAGGGAATGAGCCCCTATTCACCCATCTTTCCTGCCCAAGGCTATTGGATGGTTGAACTCACTGGAGAGCATGAAGATGTCTTGGCTGTGTACCTCCTTTTTTGTCCCCAAAACAATAGACTGTCGCACAGATAAACATATAGGTTCCTACTGGCAGCCCGGCAAATAAGGTCCTGTCCTCTCATGGGCCAGTGGAAGGGGAGGTTTAGGACAGCAGGCTGAGTGTTGGCTTTTAGGGGGGAGCATCTCCTGTCCTGGAGCCGTTCCCAGGGTGGGGGCCAGTGGAAGGTGAGGTTGGTGGAGAGGGGAACTTAAGAAGGTAACTGAGTGGTTTAGGTCCTGACAACTGGGGTTCCTTTGGATGGGTGTGGGGGGGAGGGGGAACTTTTATAATTTTCCCCGAGGAAACAATTCCTCTGGAGATGAGTTGTTGTTTAGTTTTTCTGGGGCTTTGTTTAGAGGGGAAGAGGGCAGGCGGGGATGATGGAGAATTGAGCTGCCCTCGAAGTGTTTCCCTCTCACTGCCCCTCCGCCACCAAAGGGAAGGAAGGAAAGAATTCAAGGCTGAATGTGGGAAAATAAACTTCAAAACACAAGGAGAAGGGAAAAGGGGGGCTCGGGGTGAGGCAGCCGGGGGCAGCTGGTGATAGTAGCTTTGGAGGTTAGACAGCTTTCTGAAGGGGTCCGAGCAAACAAAATGCTTCTTAATTTTGAGGTGCTGTTAAAACTCACCAATGCTTAACCCCCAAAGTCTGGCAGGGAACTTTTAGAAAAAGGATTTGGGCATCAGGCCAGTCTAATTTGGAGATGATTATGGCCAGCTCAGCCCCCCACCGCCACCCAAAGAACTCTCAGACCATTTCCAATCGGGCAAGTCTCCTCCCTTCAGAGGAAAAACCCAAGAAATGAAAGGAACCAGTATAAGCATTTTGCTCACGTCACTTTTAGTCTACAGAAATGTGCCTGGCTCTGCTTTCTGATCTGTGACTTAGGGCACTGCCTCAGGCCTCAGGAAATTGGTTTAAGGAAAAAATGAAAACTCAAAATCTTCTTTTCCATGTGGTTGCCTGGGTATTTTCCACCTGAGCTTCTGTGTTTGATCAGGTTTTGAATCACCTTTGTAATCTGAAAAGAGTCCCTCACTAGGAATTCCTGGGGTGGGGGCTGGCTCATGGGAAGGGTTGTTGGAAGGGAGGGGGGTGCAGTCTGGGTTGGGGTTTTTCTTACACTGGAAATTGTGTGTGTGCTTTCAAATGCGTGCGAAAGGGAGTTCATGGACCTTTCTTTAGATCTTTGGAAATAGTCCCCGAGTCGTCAGGTGCTTCCTCCCTGTTCAAGCTGTGGTTGAACTGAGATGGAGGCTGACTTTCAAGTGCTCAGCACCCCACCAGCCTCGGACCACATGGTTGCCCTCCTTCCTGCCTTCACAGTCATCTTGAACCCTTGCACTCAAGTCTGCTCCTCCTGGTGTTGGGTTACCTGCTCCCCCAGCCTCTTCCTACATTGCAGAGGCTCCTACATGGAGTGTTAGCGCTGACAGACTGCCGTGTTGAGCGTCGTGGGTAGTGTCTGCATTTTATGAGAGGGCACAGGCTGCTTTTGCCATCTGACTTGGCCATTTACCCATCAAGCCATTTAACTATTTCTTTTTCCTCATCTGCAAAATAAGGGTCTGGTGAGGGTTAAGTAAAGTAGAAGCATTAGGCAAGATGTGTACATTGATCTCCCCCGCTGCTAGCATTTATTAAGCAAGCATTGACCACAGCAACGTGCCAAGTGCTTTACCTACATTAGTCCAGGTACTCCTGACATCAACCTTGCATATTCAGATAAGGAAACTGAAGCTCAGGGAAGTTAAGATGGCCTTGGTGACACAGCAGGAGGGCACAGCTTGGGGTGGGACTCCTTGACACTCTTGCCCTTCCTCTTGGGCCTGTGAGGCAGTTGAATGGTTGGTCTGTAAGCGAGTTTGGTAAATTGGTTCAGCTGGAAAGTCTATTTTCTGTTTCCCCTGGACCAGGCATTGGCATGCAGGCTTCTCCCACATACTGCCTGGCTGAGCCAGCACCTCCCCCCCATTACTGAAGTAAGCGTAAGTCTCCCCCCACCCACCCCACTCCTCCTTTGGAAGCACAAGAAAGCAGAGCGCTGGGGCAAAGGGAGGAATTAACTCTTCTCAACCTTCACCCCAGGTGTGCAGTGAGCATAAACAGGAAGGGTTTGAGAGCTCACCCTGTGCCAGAGCTTTAAATAAACACTATTACATACATTCTAATTTTTATTTAAGCTTGACCACCCTTTTTATAGATGAGAGCAGTGGAGCTTGAAAAGATTAGATATAACTTGCCCAGGATCTTACAGTGCAGTAGGGCTTCAAATCAAAGCGTGTCCATTCAAGAGTACACAGGAATTAGTCAGCGAGTATTTGTTAAGCACGTGCTGTTTATCAGGCACCGAACAAGGTGCTGAGTATACAAAGATGATTTAAGACACAGCCAGGCTCAGACTGCTAGGGAGAAGGATAAATAAACCCCCTGTGACAGGATGGTTCATGAAGTCCCCCCACAGAGGTGTTGAAGAGGGATTCTTAATGAGAACCCCCAGGGCCAGCCTGGGGAATCGGGGAGGTCTCCCAGGAGGAGATGACCTCAAGCCAGAGTGGAGTCTTGGAAAGGAAGGCTTAGCAGGGAAAAGAAGGGGAAAGAGAGGGTGGTGTTTTGTGCCATGGCTTTTGAGATTCCCATGTCTCCTGCAGGTACAGTAGGGGTCACTCCAGACCCTGCCCTCCACTGAAGTGCCTCATCCATAACTCTGTGTAGACTGTTCACATAGCTGACCAATTTCCAGATGCATGTTGCATCCCAGTGGCCTCTTTGCTGCCTGAGCTCCAAACTGCATCATCCTGTTTGGAGTTTCTCCCAGCATGCTGGACCCCTCTGCTTTTATTTTCTGGGCCATTTTGCTCTATACATGTTCCAGTCTATAGTCGTAAGGTTAATTCCAATTTTGCGGTTTTGACAATCTGTGATTAACACCAATCATCCTGCTAAAATTAAAAAAATATAACCATGGATTGTATCTAACCAAAATGCTTAGAATGGGGCACATTAATTGAATTTTTTTGAGAATTGAGGTCTAACATGAAAACCTCTTTTGTTTCAAGGCTTGTTGGAAATTGTAAAGCACACTCGTTCACTTAACCGCCTTTGTAAGTAAAGGGAACACAATAGATCTTTTGATTATCCAGGATCATGGAGGCCTGTACGTCATTAGTTCAAACTTGAACTCTCACCATCTAGAACTGCAGAAGGGGAAAGTGAAGTGGGGTTTTTGAGAGGAAATAGAAGAAAGGTCCTTTCCTAATGACTCGTTTTCTTATTTATGTTCTACTCAAAGTCAAAGTCAGCCAAATTAAAAATTGTCAAAAAATAAATACACCTTAGTTACTGCTTTGGTTAGAGTTTTAACAGTTAAAGTGAGTTTTTATTGAATCGGTTCTGAGCATTTTACTAGAACCCTTAGGATGATTAAAGATAACATGGTAATAGAGACTTAAGGAGGGCAGAAATTAGCAAGTGTTGAAAGGTTCCAGGGGAAAGGGGGGAATGGGGGGAGTCCTATAGGAGGGGGTGCAAGGGAGGTGATGACTGCTGCTTCTAAGGATTTTCCTGAGGTTTTGTCCTCTTTATAGTCTGGCATTTAAAAGAAACACAATCCTCCAGTTTTGGATGCTGTGCTTGGCTGATTGACCTTGGTCCAAGTGCTTTCATCTTGAACTTGGCTGTTTGTTTCAGATTGGGCCCAGCCTCTGAACTCTATGTGTGGTGGTTGTGGTGTGTATGTTTTGGCAGGGGGGA